AACTTCCATTTCTTGGTTTTGCTCTTGAAGCTTGTTGATTATTAAAGTTGTGAGTTATTTTCTTACTTTCTCCTTTTGATTATTAATTCTTCCCTTAATCTATCTCTATATGAATGTTGGAGGGTGGCTAAGCGACGATTAGTTAACGTTCCAACATTGATTATTACTAGAAACGATCAACGAACCGATGGTTAAACGTTGATGGTTTCACAAGTAAGTAACTTCGGTTTATTAACGCACGGTCGTGGTTAATAAACTTAAGAGGGATTAATTTTGTTGGTTAAACCGAAACCGTTGTGTTGAGGTTATCAATCTCAATTGATTTCATCAAGGAGTTAAAGAGGTTAAATGCTACTATTAAATCGGTATACGGCGTTGTTCTATATTTGGTTAATAGTAAGGGTTATTAATGAACGGTTGTTGTTAATAACTACCCTCGATGAATTGGATATACTCCTCGATTGAGTATTCGAGAGGGGATAAGTTATAGACATAACAATGATCGACTAAAATATATCAACAAGTGGAAAGTAGCAAGACCAAGTCCCTTTTATTCTTATCCCATATAAATCGTTCATCTTCGTGTTTAATTTAATTAAATCACTCAACAATCAAAACCCCCCTTTATTTACTATTTATATAAAAAGAAAGTTATTTCTTTCCCTGTGGATACGAACTCTACTTCACCTATACTACGTATAAGTGTTAGTATCGATTTATTTTGAGTGCACTCACGACAAAGTGCACGTCAGCCAACCCCGAGAAGATTCAGGCCATCATCAACATGGAGCCCCCACGCAACGTCAAAGAAGTTCAACGGTTGACGGGTCGCCTGGCGGCCCTCAACCGATTCCTCTCTAAGTCAGCCGAGAGGGCCCTCCCCTTCTTCCGAATCATGAGAAAGACGGCGGGTTTCCAATGGACATCTGAGTGTCAAGAAGCCTTCGACGAACTTAAGAGGTACCTTTCTTCTCCCCCAGTGCTCTCCAAACCAAAGGTGGGGGAGACTTTATACTTGTATCTCGGCGTTAGCCCTGCGGCCATCAGTTCAGTGCTAATCCGAGAAGAAGACGGCGTCCAACACGCCATCTTCTACGTCAGCAAAACCCTCCGGGAGGCCGAACTCAGGTATTCTCCCGTCGAGAAGACGGTGCTAGCCATCGTTTGGACCGTCAAGAAGCTTGGCCACTACTTTCAAGCTCATCCGGTCCAGGTGCTCACACATCAACCCCTCGGCGCCCTCATGAGGAGTCCCACTAGCTCCTCTCGAATGGTGAAATGGGCCATCTTCCTCAGCCAATACAACATAGACATCCGTCCGAGGCCTGCCATTAAGGGCCAAGCCCTGGCGGACTTCGTAACGGAATGCACCGCGAGATCAGCAACTGACAAGGAGCCTTCGGCACCCCTCGATGAATGGTGGACACTCTATACCGATGGCTCCTCGGCCACCAAAGCATGCGGAGGGGGTGTAGTCCTCATTACACCCGAGGGCTTCTGCGCCTATTATGCCATCCGCTTCTCCTTCAAAGTCTCCAACAACGAGGCCGAGTATGAAGCCCTCCTATGCGGCCTTCGGCTAGCAGCAAATCTGAAGGCGAAGATGATCCACGTCAGGTGTGACTCCAAGCTTGTGGTGGGTCAAATCTCCGGGGAGTACGAAGCCAAAGAAGGAAGGATGAAGCAGTACAAAGAGGCAGCTAAGGAGTTGCTCAAGATATTTGAACAAGCTCTCGGATGAATCCCCCGAGCACCTCTCGAAGATTGCAAGAATTGAGGAACTTAGCCTCTCAAGCATCCACGCGAGCCCCGTCATGAGCATTAACCTGAGGCCGGAGGGTTGGATCTCCGACATCATCACCTTCATCACCACAGGGCAGTTGCCCCAAGACGAAGCCCGCGCCAAGTTAGCAAAGCTGAGGGCTCCCAGCTACACCCTCGAGAACGGTAAGCTTTACAAGAGATCTTACAACGGCACCCTCCTTCGGTGCCTTCATCAAGATGAGGCCGAAGTCGCCATGGAGGAAGTACACAGTGGCACTTGCTCAGCTCACCAGGGGCCCTTCTCCATGTCCCGAAGGCTCATAGTTCAGGGCTACTTCTGGCCCACGATGGCTAGAGATTGTGCTGATCTAGCCCGAAGGTGCACCACTTGCCAACACTTTCAGAAGGCCCCCGGCAGACCAGCGGTCAACTATGCTCCCATCAGCACCGCTATACCCTTCTCCAGATGGGGTATTGACTTAGTAGGCCCTCTGCCGAGGGGTACCTCCAACAACAGGTATATCATTGTGGCCATTGACTACTTCACCAAATGGGTAGAGGCCGAGCCCCTCGCCAGCACCACTGAGGCCCGGTGCCGCCACTTTGTTCTCAAAAATATCCTCACAAGGTTTGGTGTCCCCCAACAAATCATCTCCGACAACGGAACTCAATTCGAGGCAGCCCCCTTCTGTGCCCTCCTGGAGGCATGGGGCATCAAACACACCTTTTCATCCGTTGCCTACCCCCAAGGCAACGGGCAAGTAGAGAACGCCAACCGAACCCTACTTGAAGGGCTGAAGAAAAAGCTGGAAGCCGAAGGGGGAGGCTGGGTAGAAGAACTCCACAACATTCTATGGGCCTACCGCACAACCCCTCGGCGTGCAACAGGCGAAACACCCTTCTCCCTATGCTATGGCTTTGAGGCTAAGGCTCCAACAGAAGTGACCCTTCCGACCCGAAGGGTGGAACAATATGAGCCCGAGGTCAACGACGCCAACATGGCCCTCGACCTTCATCTCATCTCGGAACGCCGAGAGCAAGCTTTCCTCAAGGCCGAGAACTATAGGAGACAAATCAAAGGCTACATCGACGCCAAGGTCCGCTCCCGGGAATTCCAGGTGGGAGACTACGTCCTCCGACGAAGGGAGGCCAGTCTACCCACCGAAGGAGGGAAGATGGCGCCCAAGTTTGAAGGCCCCTACATCATCTCACCCATCATCAAACCAGGGACATACAAGCTTAAACGCCCCAATGGGACGGAGGTCCCTAGACATTGGAATGTGCACCACCTTGTCAAATTCTATCAGTAAGGCGTGAGCGGCCAAGCCCTCATCCTCAGCAAGTGTAAATATCAATGGCCCAAGGCCCCATCTGTTTTTGAAGAGTAATCACAAGGCCAAGCCTTCATCACCTACATATTGTACAAACGGCCCAAGGCCCCCTTTCTCTCCTACACATGAGTGGCCAAGCCCTCATCTCTCCACCAAAATAGGCCCAAGGCCTCTCCCTCTGATGAGGGGGAACAACAATTTAGGTACCAAGTACCAAGTGTATGGGTCACCCCCATCACTCTTTGAAAACACCAAGTGTTTTCTCACTAAGCCGTACCCCACGAGGACGCAATCATGCATACATTATGCATACTTATACATACTCTATCCTCCTAAAAAAAAAAAAAAAAAAAAAAAAAAAAAAACCCGGGGGGTGCAACACCCCTCGGCTCCGGCTGGTACCAAGTGCCCCCGGCTATTTGTGTTCCACACGCAAATAAAACCCTTCCCAGGAACGCTTTCCGCGCCATCCCCCAAGGGGAGGCAGGAAACGGACCATGTCCCGGGCCCAGGATTCGACTTCCACAAACGAAACGCTCCCCGCGCTATCCCCCAAGGGGAAGCAGGCAACAGACCATGTCTCGGGCTGAGGGGACGACTTTCAAAACCGAGGCGCTTTCCGTGCTATCTCCCAAGGGGAAGCAGGCAACAGACGATGTCTCGGGCCGAGGAAACGACCCTCAAACCCTTCGGGATATCGGAAGGTCATTCCCGAAGGGGGAGCCAACGGTTTGTTCCGTTGCCTCCCATATAGGCCAAGCCTTTCCTAGAAACCAAGTTTCTAGATGCCTCTCCTACACCATCTAAAAAAAAAAAAAAAAAAAAAATCGATGTGTAGGGGGGAAGGAACTCCCCGGATACTATTCTCCCCGGAGGCTCAACACTTCGGATATATGTTCCCGAAGGCTCCCACAAAGGCACAAGAAAATCTTCCAACAACAAGTCATCTGGCTACATAGCCGAAGGCTTCACTACATAAAACCATGGAGTACAACAGTTCCCCCGGAAGCCCAAGAAGAGGGCTCACTAAGCATAACTTCACCTAAATTCGGCTGGATCAGAGTCAGCTATCCGCCATGCCGAAGGCTACACAAAGTTCTGAGGCAAGCTAAACCTATATCTACACAAACCGGAGGCTTCATGCCAAAAGCAGAATGTCACCAGGCTCATTCAACGATGAGAAAATTTCTAAGTCCACATATTGGCATCCTTCGGGAAACACTCATCGAACCGGGGACTACTCACAAGGTCTATTGTTGACAAGATCTCAAAATTTCACCAAGACCATAATTTTGAACCCCTCGGCAACCTTACACACCGGGGGCTCAAGCAATTCTCACATTCGAAGGACCGCTACAACAACTATTAAAAGTTTGTGGAAGAATGACTAAGTCCACGATTGGGAATCCTTCGGCAGACAACCGTAGGCCCCACTACTACCCACAGGCTTACAGCCGAAGAAGACCTCAAACTATTTGACGAGGCCCTAAAGCTACACTATTAATCAAAGGCTCAGAATTTCCGGGGGCCCAAGATGCAATTTCACTTGGAAAATTTCCTGAGCCTAATTTATTTTGGCCCTCGGTCCTCCTGCTACAACCCGGAGGCAACGCAAGGAGACATTGCCGAAGGTTTCCAATGGAGTATTACTTAGATTATTTTCTAAGATTTTGCGCTACATCCGAAGGGTTCTGACAAGAATTCTACTTAGAAAATCTCCTAAGTCCACAACTACAAGCCTCCGGTGGCTCCACACCTGACCGAAGGCTTGTCGCTGAGTTACACTTAGAAAATTTTTCTAAGTCCACAAACTTGTGGCCTTCGGGAAACCGGGCGAAAGAGAGGAAACATACATTCATACACAAACAAGAAAGGAACGAAGACAAACAACGAGTGAATAAAGAAGGCATTCATTCACAAAAGGCCCGAGGGCATACCATTCATCCATCAGGAAAAATATTCCAAAATACAGAAGGTGTTTACTTTACAATCAGGATCGAGGCCTACAAGCTATTACACATATTCCAACTTGGGAAAAATTCTAAGTTTATATATTTGGGGCAGCATCTTCCTTCGGCACTGAGGCCGCATCATCTTCGGCTTCTTCTTCGTCGCCCTCGCCCATAAGCTCGGAATCCTCGAGATCCGGCCTCTCTTCACCTTCTGGAAGGGGAACTCTGACATCCGGCTGCAAGGGGGGAAGTCCGTGAGCTACCGGATCAAACTCCTTCAGATCGATCTTCAGGTGTCGGGCTAGCCTTCGGTAGATCATCTTCTGAGTGAAGAATTCACCGCCATCATAATAATCCTTGCCCTTTCGGGCTAGCCACTCAGCGTCGGGGCCCTTTACCCAGGCGTCCACCCCCTGCCGTATGACCGAGGCCACCCATTCCTTCCGGTCCTCGTCCATCCAGCCCCCAGCAGCGAAGGCGGCAACGGCACTCTTCTCCGCCTCGGCAACAGCTACCTTCTTGGCTGCCTCGGCCTCCTCGGCCGCAACCTTGGCGGCTTCGGCAGCATCCCTCTCGGCAGCAGCTTTCCCCTCGGCTCTGGCTATCACCTTATTGTTCTCGAGGATACTGCTGAAGGCCTCCTTCTCCAGCCGAAGGGTCTCTTGGACCTCCTGGAGCTGCCGCCGGGACTCCGCTAGGGCCTCATCAGCTTGCTGCTTCTGCACCTGGTATCGCTCCATCCTCTGGAGCAGTTCTCCGAGACCGAGGGCAGCCTGCAAATCAACACCGTCATATAACAAAGGCTAAGTCCGAAGGCTAAGTTATCAAGATAAGGGTATGCTGAGTCCAAACAATTCAGGGAGAAAGAAGAAGGAGAAAGCCTTACCGTAACAGAGGCTTGGAGAACTTTCGCGCTAAGGGCGTCATCCTTAGCCCTCGACAGCACCGACTTGTCAGTCGGGGGCGTGGCACCCTTTAGGAACTCCCTCGGGTTGAGGGTGCCATGCATGATGGCAGTTCCCTTGGTGATAGAGAACTGCACATCATCCCGGGGCCAAGCCAGGGTGTTATCTTGGCCCCGGGAGAAGGGAGGACATTTTCTGAGGGGGAGGAGGAGGAGTGCCCTTCGACAATGACGATAGGGGCGTCCTTCTTCTCAGGGCCCCCTTCTTTTTCTTCTTCTCCGGAGGCATCACGCCCTTCCCGGCACTTTTCCTCTTGGGCTCCGGCTGGGATCCCCCGGCGCCGTCACCAGCACCATCAGCTTTGGAGGGTCCCTCACCCTCCGGGACCCGAGTGGCCCCCTCTCTCTCAAAGAATTCATCGACGGGTTTCTGAGTCCCCGTCTCCTTCCTCTTCTTTGGGTCCTTGGCCAGTTTTTTCTTCAGGGCCGCGAAGCTAGAGACGTCCATGCTAACACCTGCAAAACAACAACAATGATTAGGTCGATGGAAAGAATTACGAGAATGAGAAAAGCAATAAATCCTAAGTACAACAAGTCGAAGCCTCCGGGAACTACCTCCTACGCCACCGAAGGCCCTCTCAAAGACAGGGTACTGTTCGTCCTTTTCACCCAGGAATCGGTACCGCCGGAAGCCTAAGGCTAATAAGTCCTCGGGAAGGGTCGAGGCCTTGACTGTCACGTGCTTTGTGGCCCCCGGCAGCAAAGCGGCGATCTTCTTCCCCTCCCTCTGGAGCGCGGCACTTCCCACTTTCGGGTGCCGCCTGAAGTGGTTGCGTAGTTTCCTCGGAAATGGATTTTCTGCCATCTTGATATAGCAGAAGCGATCCTTCCATCCTTTGTGGGACGAAGGAACGTCATCGAAAAGCCTCCAGGGGGCGAGCTGCTGCAGGTTGGCAAATCCCTCGGAATTGGTGTGCCCCCCCGGCACAAGTTGAAACTTTGAAAGAAAAGATCGAGGGTCGCGGTTACCCCTCGGGATCGACAAAGCTGCAGGAAGCCAGTTATATAGGAATGGCTGTTTGGGGTTAGCTGGCAGGGAGCTAAACCCACATACCTCAGGTACTCGAGGAGAAAGGGATGCAGCAGAAACCGGAGGCCCATGGCAACCGACAACACATGGACCGCGAAACAACCCTCCGGAGCTTGCAACGGGAGGTCATTGGGTCCCGGTTCAATCACGGTAGCCGAGGGCCCCACATGCAGCTGGGTAACGTAGCATTCGGCCCGGTCAGCCCTCGACTTCAACGCAAGGGCAGCAGTGTTCAGCCATGAATGCCCCTCGGGTATCCCCACGGGTCTCCCACAATCCACAGCGGTTTGCTTGCCTTTCTTGGGAGCCTTCGTCTTCTTCCTCTTTTTTCCCACGGCAACGCTGAGGGGTTCTGGATCTAATGGCCGGGAGGTGCTCGCTTCGCCGGGACCGCGAAGTGGGAGGACAGCTATTGTAACTTCTTGTCTTTCCTTCTCCTCCTCTTCTTCAGCCACCTGGAGGGCGAGGGCCATTTCTTCATCCTCTACCACCTGCTCAAACTCCTCCGCTTCCAGCTCAGTTCGAAGGTTGTTTTGAACTTCCTCGGCAACCGCTGAGTCGTTGTTCGCCGAGGATTGCGCACTCGAGGACTCCACGTCCGAGTAGCTTTCCTGTTGCGCCGACGGCTCCCTCGAGATATATTGGGAATCGCCTTGTGAGGACATGATTCCGAAGAAAGAATAAGAGAAGTGTGGCTGAGGGAGAATACCTAAGTGTTCTTACCGAAGGCTCCTAAGACCTCTAACACAAGATCCAAGGGAGAAAAGCGAAGTACGCTAGTAAAGCGAAGAACAGGTGAAGAACTAACCTGAGAAAAGGGGTTTGATAGAGACAAAAACTTTCTCTCTCTAGAAATTTTGGCAGAGCTTCGCTATCGCATAAAAACGCACAAGGGAATTGAGCTCCACCTTGGGGTATATATAGGCTTTCAGCCTCGAGAACTGGGCCTCGGTTTGAAAAAGCCATCATTACGGGCCACCGGTTCAACCAATGGGTGGCAGCCGCCCACCCCAAACCAACGAGGACACGCCACGTCAACCCCTCTTCCAACGGCTATATTACAACGACTATATTTCGGCAACACTGGGGGTGCCCCCGAATGATAGCCTCCAGTTATCACTCACCACAGCCTTCAGCCAATGAATTCCAACATAGCGCCTTCGAGCTGACAGCAATAATAGCCTTCGCTTGTCAATGTTGCCACTGCTCGACGCGTATATTGGATGGTAGCCCCCGGCTACCACCTGCGAGAGGCTTCGAGCAGATAATAGTATAAGCTTTCGACTAACCCCTCGGGGAACCCAACAACACATTATAACTCCTTCAGCCCGAACTTGCCTTCGGCCTAAAGGAGTGAGGGACTGGGATACACCCCTCGGGAATCATACAGGACAAAAATTTCTTCATACAACAATTTACAATTGACACGTGCAGCCTCCGGACAAACATCAAAGCGGAACCCCTTCGGCAGAGTATCAGTATTTCTCCCAAGTCACTTGCGGAAATAAAGCAGCCCTCATCACAACACATGCAGGCAATACACCTATGCTTTCCTCAGAAAACCCTCGACATGTGAGGGACTGAGGAAAGACTTCGGCAGTCATACAGGTGTTATACCTCCCTCAGGAAACCCTCGACATGTGGGGGACTGAGGGAGGCCTTCGGCAATCAGCAGAAGGCAAGTTCTCAAGCAAAGGCGCCCAACCAAATGCTGAAGCCTCCAGAAGAATCAACACAACTACTCCTTTTCCCTCAAGTACCTTTCGGCAAAAGGAGTGAGGGACTCCTGATGGAGTATATGGCCCAGGAGCCCCCGGCCCATAGACTCCTACTTCTCCTACATAAGCCCATTGAGCCCAGGGAGCACCTCAGGCCCAAATACAACGGCCCAAGCTTCAAAGGAGCCCATAACGCACACTGAGGGTGCCTTCGGCCTCCTTGGCCGAAGGCTCCAGAACTCACAGGATAGCCTTTTTATCATAAGAAGCTGCTGGGAGAAAACGGGCGAAAACGTGAGCCTTCGGCATTGTCATGCCCTCGGCATCAGAGAAGCCTTCGGCTAAACCCAGCCTTCGGCCACATGGGGCCTTCGGCCACACAAGGGTCCTTGCCACATGGAACCCTCGGTTACATGGAGCCCTCGGCTACACAAGGAGCCTTCGGCCAAACATGTTCAATCATCGAAGATTCCTTTTAGAGACAGCCAACCACCGCATTTAATGCCACGTCACATCCGCCAACCGCAATCAATGCGGTGGACGTGCTGCTGCCGGTGCCAACCGGCTGATGTGACCCTTCGGCCGTTGGATTACTGACACGTGTCCTCTCATCGCATTTATTGCTGCTATAAATAGCAGCCCATTTCTCCTTGTAAACGATCCACATCCCAACTCCATATCTCGAGTTCATTTAATAAAATCGACTCTCTCTCCTCCTATTTGCTCTGACTTCTCTCTAGTTATTCCCGCAATAACCCCTCGGATAAGATACCCCCCGGGTAGACTATCCATCAAGTATATACTACGTAATATATTGGGGTTAGTGTTGATAATTGTAATGTTATAAATGTATTATTTTAATATTTAATAACTAATTTATTAGTTAAGATTATTAACTATTTCCTAAATTGAAAATAAGAACCTTTAAATGAGACATCCAAGGAGGAAAGTGTGAAACGTTTCAAGGTTCTAATGTTATAACCTTGAAATTATTATACTTTTACAATGACTAGCTGATTAGCATGTAATTAATCGAATATGGCGCTCTCAAAAAATAATATTTTAAATCTTTTTATTATTTACGGCATCATAGATTAATGAATAGCCGTTTTAAAGGTCTCGAGTTCGAAATTCAATAGATTGAATTTCAGTCCAATTTAATCCATGTCCTCCAACCCCTCCACAGACACCCCTTGAGTAAAGAAAAATAGAGCTCTATATGACGCAAAAGGCATAATATATATGAAGCGGCCCAGTTCAATATACAGGCTCATCAACATATTTTGTGACCTGGATTCATCATGAAATTAAAATACCAAGATATGTCAAGATATATTTAAATTGAGCCTCAAGAGTAATTATTATTTAATTTGGAAAAGGTGCCAAAATATATCTGATTTATTAGAAATAGAAATAGTAGTCTTTCCAAAATGTAACATTTTCATTTCTCTGTTGTGTTTTAAAAATTGATGTATAACACTTTTATACACAAAGGAAGTATAGTATTTCATTTCTCACAGATTCATATTTGGGTATTGTTTAATAATGTCATAACACACTTCACATATTTGCAGACTCCCTTGATTTGCCAATTCACACGGGCAATCCGTGTAAAAAAAGCAATTCGTATAAATGCAGTCACCGTATTACTTGAGATGTTTATACCTAGACTTATTCCAGTCTCGAACCAAATCACACTTAAACAAACTAGACCCGACCATACTTGGATATTAGAAATTGTAGAAGCACATATTTGAACATTTCCCACAAATTTATATTCAAGTATAATTCAAGAATGACATAACACACTTTCACATATTTTATTCCCTTATTATTTTACCTATTTAGAGAGACCATTCTCAAACCGTGCATCGCACGGGTGAGTTTACTAGTTAAAAAAAAAAAGCTTACTAACACTATACAAAAAACTTACTATTTTTTTCCGGGCCTAGGGCGGTCGCCCTTCTTGCCCTCCCCCCAGAACCTGCCCTGAGAACGATGAGGCAGCAGGAAGGCTGAGTGGTGGAGTCGTGCGTCCGAATTCGTTAGGGTTTCTGTGAGGATTGGACCGATCTGAATGCTTCGAGGAAGTTTTAACGGAGCAGGAGGTTTGAATGATGCAGAAACGGCGGAGGTGAAACAGAATGGTTTATCGTTCCAAATTGAACCGCGCGGCTCTCTCTATACGTACCACACCGACACATTTGTTGTCTCACTGCACAATATAGCTCCGCTTCAGGCTCACCTCATTGATGTCCGTGGTCTCTTGAATCAGTTTGACTACTTAACCGATGGGATTTATTCAACATTTTCGGTTCTAGCTGCAAATGAATCTGATGTCTATTTATATACACATGAGGATGATTATTTGTAGTTAGAATCGAAAATGTTGAATAATTTCTATTATTTATTTTTTATAAAATAATTCATTTTTTTTATTGTACCACACATACAAAATGGTTTTTTTTAATTAAATATACATGATTATCATTTGTAGCTTGAAAATGAGAAGTTGAATTTATATACACATGAGGATGATTATTTGTAGTTAGAATCGAAAATGTTGAGTAATTTTTATTATTTATTTTTTATAAAATAATTGATTTTTTTATTGTACCACACATACAAAATGTTTTTTTTAAATTAAATATACATGATTATCATTTATAGCTTGAAAATGAGAAGTTGACTAATTTCTATTATTTTGTTTCTATAAAACAATTCTTTTATTTTATGTACCACATATATAATAGAATGTGTCTCTCAGTGCATTTGATTGGCCTGGTCATTATTCATAATTTGTTCCACTTGTATAAGATATACAACACTTATCTTATTCAAATGTTCTCGTCTATTATTCTCTGGTTAACTTAAAGTCTTTTTATTTTTTTACTTTATATATCCAAGTTTTATGAAATTTGAGTTTTTCTATTACGACTTTATGAAACTATTAATGTATTTTCTAAATATATCAATTTTATTAACTAATAAAATTTTAATCACGGATAGAGATCAGTTAACTTTATGGTCAGTCGAACATTGTAAATCACGTGGCCATTTTAATATTGCTGCCTTTTGTGGTTCTGTGACCTGGTAGACTGCTTTTGGAACTTCCTTGCCCTGATATTTTAGATCAACAGAAAGTTCGGGTCTATCACACCAAATAGTCATATCTTTCCTAGCTGCAAGACCGTCTTTAGTTTTGCCTTTCAAATCCATCACCGTGTTAAATATATTGTCAAAGACGTTCTTCTCGGTGTGCATGACATCTAAATTGTGACGGATGAGAAGGTCTTTCCAATAAGGCAACTCCCAGAATATGCTCCTCTTTGTCCACTTATGGGTATCACAATACCCATATGGCTCTTGGTTTGGCTCTTCCATAGCCGTAGGAAAATGTCGAACCCGGTTATAAATTTCTTCACCGGTCAATCTCGGGGGTGGGCTCTCTCGTACCGCTCTGCCTCTAATGAAAGACTTCTTGTCCTTTCGATATCGGTGCCTTTCCGGGAGAAACTTGCGGTGACAATCAAAGTAACTTCCTTTTTTGCTGTAACTGAGCCAGTTGGCACCTGATTTCTCCATGCATATCGGACATCCCATCAGACCGTGTGTGCTCCATCCCGAAAGCATGCCATAGGCAGGGAAGTCGCCAATGGTCCAAATGATGGCAGCTTTCATGATAAACATTTTATCTGATGAAACATCATAAGTTGGTGTCCCAACGGCCCACAATTCTTTCATCTCCTCAATAAGAGGTTGAAGATAAATGTCTATCTTTCGCCCAGGATCCTTGGAACCCGGACAAATTAAAGACAAAAAGATGAAATGACTTTTCATGCACATGTCGGGAGGGAGATTGTAAGGAGTTAACATGACCGGCCAACATGAATAGTTCTTCCCAAACCTGCCAAAAGGAGCAAATCCATCTGAGCACAATCCCAGCCGCACATTTCGTGGCTCCATAGCAAACTGAGGATGACAGCGGTCAAAGTGTCTCCAGGCTTCACAGTCCGAAGGGTGAGCCATCATACCCTCGTTGGTTTCGTGCTCAACATGCCATGTCATGTGTTTCGCAGTAGCAGTCGAAGCGTACATCCTTTGCAGTCGAGGAGCTATTGGGAGGTAATACAGTTTAGACAGTGCAGACCTATGTCGTGGTTTCTTTTTACCTTGACGAACAGGTTTGTATCTGTCTCCACCACAGAACTTGCAGAACTCAAGTGCCTCATCCTCCTTCCAGAACAACATACATCCTTCCGGGCACGCATCAATTTCAACACAAGGTAGCCCCAACTTAGACATTAACTGCTTCATGTGGTAATATGAATCGGGAAGGGTATGATCTCGCGGTAGCATCCCTCCTACTGACTGCAAGACTCTATTCATGCAAGTTTCAGGGAGACTGTATTCGGCTTTTATGTTCATGAACTCAGTAACAGCGGATAGCTGAGAGTATCCCTCACAATCAGCATACAGAGGTTGGTCGACAGCTTTTAGAACATCCTGAAATCTCTCAGCCAAACCTTCATCCACATAAGGTTGATAAAATGTCGGATTTTCATCCGCATCTGGTTGATACGAGGTTGAGGCTTCAGGGGGGTCGTTAGGTGATTGTGGGGGGTTGAATTGAGACGGTACACCGTATGCGTCATATACCATTTGTTGGTCCCACCTCATTTCAGCACGGTCTCCCCACGCACTCATCTCTGGAGGGACGTAACGAGACGAACCTACCGTTTGTGGTATAACAGATGGATCCAAAGGTTCGCCGTGAGAAGTCCAATTATAATAATTGGGAACAAAACCGACCGCGTACAAATCATACCCAACTTCGTGTGGGTCTTTAAATTTGAGATTTTTACACTTTGAACATGGACATCTTATTTTATCACCACTCATATAAGCCGGATGTTCAAGTGCAAATTCAATAAATTCCCCGACTCCCTCGAGAAAATTTGATTGCATTCCGTACAATACCGCATCTTTATCATACATCCAACTTCTATTTTGTTTATACATTATGCCTGAATATTATAATAAAAAATTATATGAAATGCAATGCACACAATTTTAAGTAATTTATTTCACTAAATAATATAATCAACTAATTTTCACTTTTTTTAAATGAAATGCACAGAATTCTCAACAATAATGCACAAAATATATGTCCCCTAATGCACAATAATGCAGATAATTAATTTCACTAAATTAAACATACGTTTAATTAAATCTAACTAATTCATTTAGTTAAATTTAACTAAATTTAACTAGTTCATTCCGTCCCCTTTTAATGCATCACTACGTTTAAACATACATTTAGCTACCTAATTTAACTTAATTAACACATCAATAGCTACGTTCAAAGTTCAAACCTACGTTTAGCAAACGAATTTTAATTAAATTATTTTTGTACACCTACGTTTAAACCTACACTAAATTATTACGTTAATGACATTTAATCTTATTAGTAATACACAATTAACAATTCACTAAATTAAATAATATGACCAAATTCAACCCAATAATTTGAACATGTATATAAAGTTATTTGAATTAATAAGCAATACACAATTCACAATAACAATTCACAATTCACTTAATTAACACATTACTAACGTACGTTATTTGAACTAATTTCACTAAACATAAACATCATTACGTTTTAAACCACAGTACATTTAGCTAACTAATTTTAATTAAATTATTTTAATTTATACACCTAAAAGTTTAACTAATTCTAATTTATGACATTACTACGCTTGTAGTTAAAACATGTTGTTAATTAATTAACAACCTCACTAATTTAATAGTTTTAATAATTTAAATTGAACCAACTAATTCTAAATAAAAATTATAATTCAAATAGCATACCTTATCTGCATAAACAGGGAAAATGATATAAGATAGACTACATCCTTCGATCTACGGATACTGTATATACTGGGAATGAATTGGTGTGGTTCTGTTCAATGAGCTGCTCCTGTATATATAAAAAATTTAGTCACGGACTTAGTCACGGATTTGTCCGTCACTAAGCAAAACCGTGTCCAATACGCGTCCAACACGTGTTAATGACGTGTAAATGACGTGTTAATCAAAGTAGTCACGCACGGAACTAGTCACGGATATTGCCGTGACTAAAATTATCCGTACATAATGCCGTTGCGAATTAACTAAGGGAGTTGAAAAAATTAAATTTTAATTATAGTCACGGGCATAGTCACGGATTTGGCCGTGACTAAGTCGTCGGAATCAAATAAACTTCACCGGAAACGGAAAGGGGCCTATCGGAGGACTTAAGTCACGGGCTAAGACCGTGACTAACATTAGTCACGGTCATAGTCACGGTCCAGACCGTGACTATTTTTTTTTTTAAATTTCCGTGGCTAGTCCGTGACTAGACCGTGACTAAACTAGTCACGGACCAAATCCGTGACTAAAATCCGTGACTATAACGCTGTTTTTTTGTAGTGATACCAAAAAGTAAGTATATTAAGAGTTATTTACTCTTCAATTTGAAACTAAACAATTTGAATTTTAGAACAATTCTATTCAGAATTAGCTATTTTATATTTTATTTAAACTTAACAATTTATTACTGCACCAGTAGCTAGAGTATGTTTATTTGAAACTAATAGTCTCAACTTTCAATTAGCCTAGTTGTTTTTATTGCTATCAACAGACTCTTCAACTAAGCTTGGTGATTAAATAAACCCTACAACGGATTCCTATGTTACAATATAATTGTGAAAAAGCTATGTATAGAAGCAGTTTCTATATGCGCGTGTTATTGATAACTGAAGAAAACATATGCAAACTAGCCTAAAAAGAAGTAACAGCCTGATTACTTCCTCCCAAACTAACCACTAAAATCACAAAACATAAAATATAGTGTTTGACTGCAGGCGCACCAAAAGAAGTAAAAATTAGTGCAAATAAAACTAAGTGAAATAAGGCATACTTGACTCATCTTCTTCCTAAAACTAGATGTTCATTTCATGGCGATGGCAGTTCAGGAGGGGGACGAGACGACAATACTGTATCTTCCTTTACAAACACTATCTTTTTTTCCAAGTCCTAGATTCTAATCCGGAGCCATAATATGCTTGAATTTTGTATATTAAAAAGTTTTCTAAAATATCTAATTTCTTTTATGTTGATCAGTCATTTTTTGCCATGATCTCCAAGGTGTTAGGAAATGAATTCAATTGGATCAACTACTTCCTTTTCAAGAGATACAAATGCTTCGATT